AAGGGGAGTGGGTAGGTCTTATTAAGCCCTTGCGCCATAGGTCCTTAATAATGGGCTGTAGGCCCTGAAGACTGCTAGTTGGAAGAGGGTATTGAGGTTGACAAGAGAAATACTGAGGGTCCTTAAGACGAATTCTGAGAGGGACACATTGAGCCAGAGAGGGGGGTGGAAGTGTCCTAAATTTGAGGGTTTAACCTCCAGAGAGGGAGAAGGAGGGGAGCCTGTGGACATGTGGGTTGCTTCTGCAAGGGTGAGGATAAAAGAGAAGCTATGATGGAATGTAAGGGAGGCATGGAATTTGGCTAAGATATCCCTTCTCGATAGGGGAATGGGGCATTRGGGAATTACCAAAAATTGGTGGGAGAAAGGATGGTGGAACCTACAAGAGAGAGTGGGGGTTTTGCGGGGAAGGATTGTTTGTGCCCTTACCCTGAAACAGCATGGAAGAGTGGGTCCCCAAAACTCCCTCAAGACTGAATAAGTGGCCCCTGTGTCTAAAAGGAAGTTAATTGGGCATCCATCCACCATAATAGTGACCCTGGGCTCCTGAGAGGTGATAGTGGTCATCGGGGAGGGAGTCCCAAGGCCCATTCAGTCATCCGTGGCCAGTCCTAAAAGATCCAGGCCTGGGCTTGGGGCAGACACAGCTCCCCTTTGGGGGCCGGCGCAGTCCATGGCCCAGTGACCCCYTAATTGGCATTTAGGGCATGGACACGTAGGTAACATGGGATTAGGGCACTCTCATGCCCAGTGTCCTTTTGTCCCGCACTTAAAGCAGGGCCCAAGAGGCATCTTTGGTGGTGGGCATTTGGCCAGAAACGAAGAGGTCCGTGGGGGTAGGTCCCCATAGAGCCTGTACCAGCAACTGGGTTTTTTTTCCTGGCCTTCTCATCCCAGTTATGGTATACCTTAAAGGCTGTGGCCAGGACTTCAGTATGAGGGGTCAAGGGGTCTGAGGGGTCCCCGTTCCAGTTTTTTAAGTTTTGCCCTAATGTTGGGGTAACTCTGGGAGAAGAAATAGGTCATTAGAAGCTGTCTCCCATCAGGGGTTTCAGGGTCTAAATTAGTATATTGCTGGAGAGCCTTAGTCAGTCTATCTAGGAAGGTGGAAGGGTTCTTGTTTTTGTCCTAAATGATTTCTCAAGTTTTTAAAATTTACTGTTTTTTGAGCTGCCCGTCTATCTGAGTCCTACAACTAGGCAGGTGGAAAATTGGTCCCTCAGGGCCAATCCTGCAGTGGTATTGTAGTCCCAGTTAGGATCCTGGTCAGGAACTACCTGGGCACCTAGGAGGTGGACAGGGGTGGTTTGATGGATCTCATCAGCATTGTTACRGGCTTGTTCCCAGACCTGTCTGTGTTCTTCTGGGAGAAGGGTATTGGCCAGGATAGTGTAAATGTCATGAAAAGTAGGCTTGATGTAAGTACTGAAACTCCTTTATGTATGAGGCAGAGTTGGAGGTGTAGGAACCCAAGTATTTTTCAATCTGAGAAAGGTCTGCTATGGAGAAAGGGACGTGGACCCTAAGGATCCCTTTGGCCCCAGCAACCTCTCTAAAAGGAGCCATGATTGAAGTAGGGTGTGACTGGACAGACTGTGCATGGGAATGGGGAGTGGAAGGACTGAAGGAGGAAGTGAGGCTGGGCCCAGAGAAGAACGTGAAGGAGGCGAAGGGGCGGGGATGGTGTGGGCAAGGGAAGAGAAGGGGGATTTGGGTGCCAATATGGTGGTGGCTCATTGGCTGGATGGAAATCAGTCGGTGAGGAAGCAGAAAGGTGTGGGGGGGTATAAGCCAAAAAGACATGCTTTGGGTTGCAAGAGGTACAGAGAGATGGAGTCAAGCRAAGGAGAAAGCTTGAATATATGAAATCTCTACCATTTTCTCGATTGCTCCCAATAGTTGTAGAGATTCTACAAAATGGCAGGGGTCTAAAGACCCATAAGGGGGCCAATTGGTTTTGGTTATCTAAGGGAAAATTGGGCCAGTCCTGAGTTGAAAATTTTATCAAATTTTTGGGCTTGATATCTGGGGTCAGGCTGAGGGTRTCCAAATTGTTGAGGAGGCATTTGAGAGGGGAGTCTGCCCGCAGGGAGGAGGCACCCCCTATGGTGCAATGAAGAAGGGTATGATATGTTGACTGGAGAGGTGTCCCACTTGAGCCAAATATTAAAATAGGACCTCAGGCCGAGGATTCGGGAGTTATCGGTATTCGCCAATGAGGGAACCCAGAGGGCGGTGGGAGCTATGGGTCGCCTGGAGCCAGGCTTTTTGGAACTAGAGAAGGGGAGGAGGAGACCCAAGTTCGAGGAGGAGAGGGGGTTTACCAGTTCTCAAGGTGGCCGAGGCCGGTAAGGAAGGGGAATGACTCCAAGAGGACCACTGCAACTGTGAAGGTCTGGGTGGGGTGTATTCCTCTCCACAAAACAACACAAGGACTGSCTGACAATCGCCAGCCAGTTCCCTGTTACCGAGCCTCACGGGTTTTAGGAGTCCGGAGAGGGAGACTCACCCATTTGTAGGCCGATGGTGGATGTGAAGAAGTGGTCTCCGCTCAGGTGGTGATCTCCTGTGGGATGGGGGTCCCACTTAAAGGCAGGGGAGCCCCATCTGAGTCAAGGCACCAATGAAAGCAGATCGATCACACTGGAAACAGAGGTTCAACCAAGAGATCGATTGGAAACAAGGAGATGGCTGCCCGCCCGCTCAAATGGGGACAGCAGCCACGCAACCATAGGTTCGTTCGAGGACTGGCACAAGCTGATCAGGCCTGGGAATTCAAAGGGGCAACGCTCCCTTCGTGGGATCCTGCTATTGGCTGGAGGGAGGCGGGCAGGTTGATGTACTGCATTGTCAATGGCCTGGTTGTCGCTAGGCGGGAATGGGTGGTGAAGTGGAAAGGGGCAAGGCTTCTGCCAAGAAATGGAACTTAGATTAGTCAGAGGAAATGGAAACTCCCTTACACCAGACAGGACCCATTCCACCTTCCTTAAAAGTGTGCCTTCTTCACTCGGATTCCCTCCTCCCTTCCCTGCCCCCACTTCCATACTGCAGGCTGGCCGGTGTGGCCGGCGTCCTCAGCGCAGGGGTGGGTGACTGCAGAGAGTTAGGCTGAACGCAGGGCGGGCCAAGCGGTGCTGACACGTGGGGAGGGAGCAGGCGCGGCGGAGGAGGGGTTGGGTGTGTGGGTGGGTGTGTCTGTGAGTGGGAGAAACCAACTGTGGCCGCCAGGAGTGCGTATCTTTTCATAGTGCTGGGGGAAGCCGCTCAGGACGAAAGTGGCCACCACTCCCAGGAGCCCCTCACACACAGATAGCCATCACACACCTGAGAAGGCTCTGGCTGCGGCCAGGCCCTGCCCCGGAGYCCCGCACTCTGGCGTCTCCTCGCGCCTCACCCCGGCTAGGCACAATGGTAGGGTCCACATACGTCATCCATTGTTTACAAATCAACCCGAGCCGGCAGGATTCCGGCTCCCCCGGCTGCTTGCGCGCGGCGCTACAACCCCGCCGACCCGGCTTCCGCATCCCCCCGTCCCCGGCCTCAGCTTCAGCCTCCGCCCGGCGCCCCGCGCCTGCCGGAGCCGCGGCCCGCCGAACCCGCGGGCAGCCGAGCCACCGCGACGCCCGCAGAGCTTCGGGTGCCCGGGAGGGGGCCATGCCGTGCCGGAGGGAGGAGGAAGAGGAAGCCGGCGAGGAAGCGGAGGGGGAGGAGGAGGACGACGACAGCTTCCTCCTGCTGGAGCAGTCGGTGACGCTGGGCGGCTCGGGCGAGGTAGACCGACTGGTGGCCCAGATCGGCCAGACGCTGCAGCTGGACGCGACTCAAGACAGTCCGGCCTCCCCGTGCGTGTCCTCAGGGCCGCCGCTGCAGCCCCCGGCGGCGCTGCCGGCGGACAAGGCCCGGTCCCCGGCCGTTCCTCTGCTGCTGCGGCCCGCGTCGGCCGAAGCTGGGGGGCCCGCGCCCCCGGGAGCCCTACGCTGTGCCCTCGGGGACCGCGGTCGCGTTCGGGGTCGCGCTGCGCCCTATTGCGTGGCGGAGCTCGCCTCAGGCCCCAGCGCACTGCCCGGGCCGTGCAGGCGAGGATGGCTCCGTGGCGCCGGCGCCTCCCGGCGCATTCAACAGCGACGGTGGACCCAGGCCGGAGCACGCGCTGGCGATGACGACCCCCACCGCCTCCTGCAACAACTCGTGCTGTCGGGAAACCTCATTAAGGAAGCAGTGAGGAGGCTCCAGCGAGCCGTCGCCGCGGTTGCGGCCACCAGCCCCACCGGTGCCTCTGGGCCCGGTGGCGGACGCAGCGGACCGGACCCCGTCGCCCTGCAGACCTCGAGCGCCTTGCTCTGACCCTGGCCCCCTGGAGAAGGAAGAGGACGCCGCTGCCTACTACTCTGCGTCCTGCTCCCATCAACCCTGATCTGAAGCCTCGGCCTCTACTCCTGGGAGCGACAGCTTAGGCTGCACGCAGGCGCTTGGAAAGATCTTAAACCCAGAAGTGGAACCGGCCCGGGCAGTGCTGTCCRAGAACTTAAAGTATGGTGAAATGCACGGACCAAGGCACGTCCGTGTCGCGTGAGAATTTCCCCGGTCACCCCGGGCCAAGGACCTGGGATAAACTGGGGGACCTATGGCAGCTACTTGCATCCACTTGTACCTGACCTAGCCCTTGTGGGCATCGTGTGCTTGGATTGTTTTAAAGATAGGGCTGGAAAGGGGCGGGAATCGCGAGAGCTTTCTAACAATACTTGAAAACTAGTGCTATGGATACATTTTCTCGTTATTTTCCGGTGGAGGAGCTTACTGAAAATGGTGCTATAATCGCTGTGCAGAGAAATTCTGGGTTGAAGAATGTAAAATCTTGGCATTGGGTGGGTTGGCATCGCCTCCTTTCTTCCACTTAATCCGTGGCTGGAGGAGGTGGGAGACTCCACTTACGGAATGGGAGGGAGGGGCATAATTTCGAAGTTGGGAGAGTTAAATTTGATTGTGGACTTTTAAATGACTTGACCTTGCCACCCGTGGTTGAAGGTCACGTTTATGCTCTAAGTGAGAGGCAGTGGGGTTCCTGCAAGAGCTAACTCACCCTTGGTGTCTTTTTCTCTCCAAGAAGAGCTCTGTCTTGTGCTTTGCCACCGCTTGGAGTCTCCTGAGGACACACAGGCAGGGAGGGACGTGTGAGAAGAGTTAGTTGCTTTTTCTGTGCTTTCCTCTTTCCAGAACTCCTCCTCTTGCAGGGCTACTCTTGGCCATGTCATTAGCTTTCTCAGAAACGGTCATAAACAATCTCCTGTCCTCCCAGCCGACCTTTCTTACTCTGCCCTTTCTGTGGGGTTGGATGAAGGCCCTGGACGCCTTTCTGCTCTGTTCTGGCCCTCTGGAGTGGTGGGCCTGAGCCTCTGCGGTTCCTCATGCACAGTTATTTTCCTCCTGCCTGCCAGCTCTTCTTTGTGAGTGACTGAAACTTTTAAAAATGTGACTCTCCTCTAGGAGAAACTGCTGGCTTTACCCTTGTGAAACTTGATGGCGCTTTAGTAAGGTGCCACCCCCAAACTTTAAGGTAGCTAAACCAGTTTTTTAAAGATTCAATGGCTTGTTCATCCTCCAGATGTAGCTATTGACTGTACACTTCGCAACGGAGTGTCTGAACTTGTGGTGGTCCTGATTTATAGGATTTCTTAATTAAAATGTCTGCTGAATAAATTTGATTTTTGTTTTGGAGCATGGTTTGGCTTTTTGTTGGAAGATGGGGAAGGGAAATAAAAGCCTATAGGGCATACCCTTATTAATGAAGAGTAATTAGAGGGACCTAAGTAAATGGCTGGGGCWCACCATTGTATCCCTGTAGAGTTGCAGCCCTTGAGTGCTCCTGGGTTAATGTTCTGCACAATCAGAAAATTGAGTCCAGGTTTTTAGGAGCTGCCAGGTGGGCTCTTACTCCTTTTGTGGAAAACATATTCCAGAAACATTTTCTGGACCGGAGGGCAAAGAAACACTGGGTCTAGAGGGAGATGGGTTTTCATTTTTTGTTGTTGTTGTTGCTAGGGATTGAATCCAGGGGTGCTTTACCACTGAGATACATTCCCAGCCCTTTTTATTTTCACTAGATTCTCACTAAATTGTTTAGGGCTTCCCTAAATTGCTGGCTTTGAGCTTAGAATCTTCCCACCTCAGCCTCCTGAGTCACTGGGATTACAGACATGTACCATATGTGCCACACCACTGTGCCCAGCAGGAGATAGGTTTTCCTCTGAATTTTTTTTGGGTGAAGAATAGCAAAGCCTGCCTATTTTCTCCTTTTAAGACTAACTCCTTGGAGCTATAGCCTAGGGGAAGAAAAACGGTTTTAGCTGGACACAGTTGCTCACCTGAAATCCCAAAGACTTGGGAAGCTGAAGCTGGAGAATAGCAAGTTTGAGGCCAGCCTTAGCAAGTTAGCAAGACTCTGTCTTAGAAAATAAAGAAGGCTGGGGATGTAACTCAGTGGGAAAGCACCCCCTGGGTTCAGTCCCCAGTGCCAAAAAAAAAAAAAAAAAGTTGGGGGGGCTGTATAGTGATTTATTTAGTAGTTTTAAAGATGGCTTGGTTTGAGCTGGCAAGGATTGTATTTGACCTCATGAGGTGGTCCCCTCCTCCGCCCCTCAGCCCGACTTCCCTGGGGCAAATAGCCTTTGCTGAGTCCCTTCCTACTTCCTGTCTACCTTTCCAAGGAAAGCTTGGGGGCAGCCCCCGCTCTGCCTGTCAATCTCCTGCAGGACCTTTCCTGCCCTGCACCTCTTCCACACTGTGCCCTGCACACAGCTGGTTAGTGCTTAGTGACTGGGGCGTGACTCAGTCCTGCTGCTTACCAGCTGTGTCTGATGAGCAAGTCACTGCCCTGAGCTTCCCCCTTTTCTCATTTATAATGCTTAGTAAGGTAGTTGGGAGGGTTAAATGAGGACCTGAGGTGTCTGGGAGACTTAAGTGTTCGAAACATAACTGCTAATTCTTTTTTTTTAATCTCTTTTTTAAATATTTATTTTTTAGTTTTAGGTGGACACAATATTTTACATTTATGAGGATCAAACCCAGTGCCTCATGCATGCTAGGTGAGCGCTCTACCACTGAGCCACAACCCCAGCCCCCATAACTGTTGATTCTTGGCACTACCACATGACTTTATATGCCTTGAGGTAAGCCCCATATTTCCATTTTATAGAAGACACTGAGGCTTAGGAAATTAAGGGATTTGCTTGAAGTTACCACCTCTTAAGTGATGGAGCTGGAATTTGAACTTGGATAATCTGACTATAGCTTCTCCTGCTTTCCTCAGTTAGGTCTTTGGGTTTTATTGTACCACTTACAGGAAACTCTTTTTTTTGTTCTTCCCAGGGGTTTTACCCCTGAGATACATCCCCAGTCCTTTTTTTTTTTTTTTTGGTGTGTGTGTGTGTGTATGGTGCTGGGGATTGAACCCAGGCCCTTGTGCATGCTAAGCAAGCACTCTACCAACTGAGCTATATCTAGAGCCCCTAAAAGACTTTTGGACACCACTCTCACCCGTGTTGGATTTCTTGGAGTTCTTTGGAACATCCCACAAACTTTGACCCACCAATACTTCAACACAATAGCAAACTTTTCTTGTGCATCAGCCACATATCTGCACAGTATAGGAATCTGGAATGAGGCAGGGTTGAAACATCCTGATAGAACTCACAGCAGATTTAGACACACAGACCTTCATATGAGGAAATAGGCATTGCATAAGAGCGGCCCAGATAACAAATGCCATATGGCTGTTTCCTTCAGAACTGAATCACAAGTCCTCTGTAAGATGAGGATTGGGCCAAGAGAGATCTCATTCAGGGCAGATACCCTGGAGGTTTGCAACCTGACTGGAACAGCACTCAGGAATATAATAGGAATGAGGACTGCAACTAAGGAGGAAAGATCTATGGAATCTGAGCATCTAAGAGGAGAAGGGAACTGAGTAGGGAGGAGAAAACACTCTGGTGCATACCTTTATATGACTCTAGGACTTGGTGGTAGGGCAGGAGTTGAACTCAGGCTCAGATTGAACCTCACTGACTCTCTTACCTCCTGTCTGAGCCTACTCATGTTTCTTTGCGGGGGTGGGGGGGCAAGGTTGAAACATTTATTTATTTATTTATTTTTAGTTGTAGATGGACACAATATCTTTTATTTTATTCATTTTTTTTTTAATGAGGTGCTGAGGATAGCACCCAGTGCCTCACACATTCAAGGCAAGCGCTCAGCCACTGAGCTACAACCCCAGCCCAAGGATGAAACATTTTAATCTGATGGTAGCACAGGACACTGTACAGGGAGCCCTCAAAGCTCAAAGATTTGCCCTCCAGATTTTAAGAAAGTTCTGGAAATAACTAGATTTGCTAGTCTGTCCTCCACCAGTGGCAGGTGGCAAAGTGAATGGGGAAAACATTGTGATCTGCCCTCATGTCATTTATAGATCCAGTCCTAAGCACAGTTCTTCTAATTCACCAGTTCTTCAGGTTGAAAACAAGCCAGTCTTCTCTGTACTCTGCAGAATCACTGCCATGAATAATGTTCCTGTCAACTTGGATGTAAAAGCTGTCTTGGATGGTTCCAGGCTTGGAGTCTGTAGGGATTATGTCCCTGAACATCACTTAGCCAGTCTTCTCAACATCTAACCTTTCCCAGATCATGGCAAACACTGGTCCTGAGCATGTATTTCACCAGGCCAAAGAAGAATGGATGGTACTTCAGGTCAATGTAGTGTTCTTTAAGAAGGCCTTCAGAAGCCTACATGGATTTCAGACTAAGGAGGTGGAATCCCTTCTCAAAATGCTTGATGACCTCTCACAAGATCCTGCTGGACCCTGATGGCCTTGATGGTAATGAAAATGTGCTCATCGTTGGCCTTGGTCCTGTCCAGCTGTTTGGGCTTCAATCCACATTCCTTTTCTCACACCCCCTAGTCCTTGCTACTGATCCAGCCATTTGCAAAGACTATAGAGTGACTAGCCCCAGTCCTAGGCCTGAGGAAGTGTGTCTGTCTAGGAGGGAAAGGCACTTCCCAGGTGTTGCTTCAAGTGATAGCCCATTCCTAGTACTTATGACTTTGGCTTAGATATCCCTAGCTGGACATAGCTGAGAGGACTCCATCTTCTGACAGGGTCTGTTGCCTAAGTTCCTCTAATAACATTGCAAGTGTTAAGCCCAGAAGGATTGAAGCAATAGGGAAGTGGCAAGAAGCTGGGTATGTGTGTGTAGGTAGGGAGGGCTGGTTCCGAGGTTCATGTGGGAAGTTACAAGGGCAGCAACCTGGTGTCTCATAAATAGTAGTTGGAGGGAGATCAGGGTGACAAAGATTTGGCAGTTAAAACTAAAAAGTGGATAGAGGCTGGGAGATGTTGACAGGTGGGCAGTGCTAGCTAATGTGCTTAGCACTTACCCTGTACCAGGCTCTGTCCTGAGCACTTTACCACTTTACCAGCTCATCAAGTCTCTATATGAGGAAGAGAAGAATACCCAGAAGGAGCAGACAGAAAGTAAGAGTAGAACCAACGGAAGCTGAAGGCTGAACTGTGGGGGTGGGGAGGTATGTCTACAGGTGTGCATGTGTGTCTACACACAGGTCCATCTATGTCATCACCGTGTATATTCCCTGTGGTCAGGCTACAGGGGTCCAGGGCATGGTCATCAGATCCTGCTCAGTGACTTACTTTCATTGTCTGTTTTTGAACACTGGAGTTAATTCAGCTTCCTTTTTTAAAAAACCAACCCATTAAGTAGTGTATTTTGAACATCTGCATTAGTTCCTCCTGTCTTCAACCCAGCTGAAGAGAAGTACTATTTGGCGTGCATCTGGAGAAAGGGCCTTTTTTTTTTTTTTTTTTGGTATCCAGGATTGAACCCCAGACACTTTACCACTGAGCCACATCCTCAGCCCGTGTTTATATTTTATTTAGAAACAGGGTATCGCTGAGTTTCTTAGGGCCTCCCTAAGTTCCTGAGGCTGATTTTAAAATTGCCATCCCCCTGCCTCGGCCTCCTGAGCCATTGAGATTACAGGTGTATGCTCCATGCCCAGCTGAAGAAACTGTCTCATGACTCCAGTGGGGAAGATTTCACCAATATTGAGCTGTGGAATCTAATTTAGATAGGTGAGACACAAGCAGGCCAAAGGCAGGGCAAAGGTAACAAGATGATAACCAACTTGTGGTTTATTTTAACCCACTCAAATCAATAAGTCAAATAAACTGCCTGAACAGCCTACCAGTGGGGGGTTGTGAATTTTACCTCCTATGAGTCAGTTAACAATTGACAAGAGGAAGCAGTTAAACTCCGTGGTATCAGTTTTAGTTTTCATTCTATTGCTGTGTAGCCACAGAGGATTCATTCACACAAAACTCACGGAAACATGCAGCTGTCCCAGGCATGAAAGGTTGCACAAAGTTGCTTCAACAGCCAATCTGTCAGGTCTGGGCCTTGCTGGGGTAGGAGAGTTTGTGACATCGAGTACTGTCCTGTGGGACATCTATACCTTCAGCCCCCCATGAGCCCTGCTCTTTAAACATTCTCAGAGTGAGGACCCCTCCTCCAGATGGTTCTTTGGAGCATCTTTAATTTCTCCCTGTCTTCCGCTGCACTGGGTCAAACGCTGTGTCTCCTGTTAAGCAAATCCCTCCTTTGGCCCTGTTCCCCTTCTC